TGCGGTAGACGGGCCACAATTCACGCACTTGCCATTGACAGATTAGTGAGGTGCGACTATTGGTTGTTTTCATTATTTCATAGTTGTCGTATTCATTCAATTAATTATGCATGTCTCAATTTATGCTTGTAATTATGTCAATTACTTATACATTTCTAAGTTTATGTTCCATTGTATATTGAATTTCTATTTCATTGACTTTTTTTGTAGGATGGCGCAATTCCACCTGCTCGACCCGGCATACGAGGAGACCCACCGAGGACGTCTCATAGCGGAGGGGCAGGTAATAATCTATACGTCCTGTTCAAATTTTTGTGAGCGTACATGTGTTCATGAAGTAACGGGAGACTATGTTTTATTCCATGCAGGACCTTCCGCTCCTTTGTCCTAGAACCCACAATGGGTTCTTGGACATGCAGTACGACAATAGGTACACTCTTTTCCTGTAAAGAGCTGGCCTAGATGTCATCTCTTTTCAGGTTCATCGTGGGTTGCCCAAGTTCAACTCAGTGGCCATAACTGCGTTGGTTGACAGGTATTATCTTCAATCGTTGCCTCCATTCATGGCCATTTGTTTATGCGCTTGCCTTTTTGACATATAATCTTGCTTTGTCTAAAATGTAGGTGGCGGCCGGAGACTCACAACTTTCACTTGCCTTTCGGAAAGATGACAGTCATGCTCCAGGACTGTCAGAAGATGCTAGGTCTAAGGATTCATAGCAATGCAGTGACTGGGTAGTGTAGGTCAGAAGGTTGGAGAGCACGAGTAGAGGCCTTCCTTGGGCGTGAGGTTGACAAGCAAGGGGCTCGTAGTTCTGGAGTTCTAATCTCCTGGCTCCGGTAAGAGTTCGCACAGTGCCCCAAGAAGGCAGATGAGGAGACAGTTGGGTACTACTGCAGGGCATGGATCCTACACCTATTTGCCTGCGTTCTCTTCCTCGATGCCACGGGTGACACTACGTCATGGATGTGGGTCCACTGGCTCACTGACTGGGACTAGGCGGGTCTATACAGTTGAGGCTCTACAGTGTTGGGTTTTCTTTACCGGCAGCTTTACGAGGCGTGTCGTCGAACATCGTCCTCATCGTCACTTGGTGGATGCGTGTACCTGCTCTAGTTGTGGATGTAGGCTCGTCTAACAGTTGGCCGTCCCGAGGTTCTACAAGCTTGTCATCGTCGAATAGACTTTTTAGTGTCCTTCGAAATAGTGATTGAAGTCTAAAATCGAATAGGCTTTTCAGTCAAGGAATCTAGGCTCTCCAGTGTCCTACGATGTAGACTTTTCAGTGATTCTGAGTAGACTTTTTAGGAGCATTTACAACACAATACAATGGCTAGCAAACCTGCCTCCACCTATATATATGCGTTCTAGGATGCATTGCTAACCAAAAGGAAAACCAAACTAGTATTTGGTTTCGTTGGAGTAGGAATGTCTAGAGGGTCATCTAGAGGAAAGGGTTTCGGGAGTGGGAGAGCAAAGGGGGGGGGACGAAGGGAACTCCCATTGTGTGGGAGGGGTCTCTTGGGCCTGATTTCTTTGAGGAACCAGTGTATCAGTTTCCCTCCGAGAGCAAGAGTGATTTCACTAAAGAGTGCCCTCTAAGAGGATACGATAACAGGAAGGAAGATTGGCCAAAATACATACATGGTGAGGACTGCTTACTGCAGATGTTCACTGAGGGGATCGACGGAGGTTGTCGCTTCTTCAAATGCCCGTGAGCATGGGTAATTGCTATTACATTTCGTTTGTTAAATATGTTTCTTAAATACCCTTACAACTCACAGGACATACTTATTGTAGTCTTCCGAGTCCGAAGAAAACCGTGGATTCACTAGGTGGGTCGATCATCGACCAATTTATCCGCATCAGTAGTACATCTACTACCTGCAGGACCAAATCTTCGATCTACAAAGGGAAGTTAGCAGCGGGTACAAGGAAGACGAAGACGATGACAACAACAATGGTGCAAGTTCACAGGAGGCACTCTGCAATGATCCATATTGCACCTGCCCTAATCATAAGAACAAGGGGCCTCCGCCGTCACCCCCGCCACCACCACCATCAATAATGGGAGGCTACTGTGGAGAAGGTGCAACATAATTTGTTATGTGGCCACACTACTAGGACGACCCTATCTTATTCACATGGCATATCCATGTGTTTGTTGTTTGGTTTAATTACCTAAGGCATGTTAGGTTTAGTCGAAGGAACTATGTACCATTGTTTGGTACATGTTCTCACATGCCATTTATTGTGCTTGTTGTTCGCTTCAATTACCTAAGGCATGTTAGGTTTAATTCAAGGCCTCTGTACCCTAGTTCGGTACATGTTCTCACATGCCATTTTATGTGTTTTGTGTGTTGAATTATATAATGCCCTACTTCGTTACGTTTTATTTGCAGCACGTGATCACATTTCACTACGTCCGCAATATTAAACTAAATATTATGACCACAAATAATAAAAACAACTACATAATAAAAAGTCTAATACTATGACACATTAAACAACATAATAATACTAGAAGTACGTGCCGACAAACTAAATAACGCAGTACATGACCTAATCATGCCCATACTTAAAGTGCATTACATGACAACACAATGAAAAGTCCAATAATAGACAACATTGTTTATGAATAAACCATAGAACTAGCAAGTAATGGAGACTACTGAGTGCAACGAGGTCACTTTCCCTTACTTAGAGCATTGGGATTCTCCTCCGTTGCTGCTTTCGCTCGGCGTGCACGCTCAAGCTTCTTCTCCCTCTCCTCCCTGTATGCAGCAACACGTCTCCTTTCCTCCTCTTCCTTGTGCTCCTTTTTTGCAGCCTCATCTCCACGTATCTTCTCCATCATCTCCTTGTCCTCTGCCTCCCACCGCAATAGTTTCTGCATCCATTCTTTGTCTTAAGGCTTGATCTCAGTGTCGATCCACTGCTCAAAATCACAAAACGGTGGAGGGGTCTGCAAAAAATGCAATTGTTACAAAACAAAAAAATCATGCAAGATGTCATATGACACAAACATCAATTCCTCACCATCTTGTTAATGTGGCGCTGACGAAGTGTAGGCTCAAACGTAAAGTTGGAACACATCTAATACCTCTGCATATACATGTCCTCTTCATCGGACTTGGCTACCTTGCAAGGATCGCCGCAAAAGCACATGGGCAATGGAATACCACTAGGCAGAGGCAATGGGTCGAAGGTATTTCCGGTCATCCGGCCATAACTACAATTTAGCCATTTTCGTTCTAAGAATCGAAAGCAATTAACATTAAAACCTACACCTAGGGTTTCCCATTTGATCCACAACAATGAACCCATATCATAACAACGTGCGCTGAGGTTACCTTGGTTTGGTAGCTTTTCCACGTCTTGGCATCCTACGGTTGTATAATATAAATATTTAAATTACATGAAACCCTAAGTAATGACGATTCTTAAGTTGAAAAATCCGACTAATATATACCGAATCGATTTGAAAAAAAAACTAGGAGGAAGCGATGATACTTTGCTCTCGAAGATCTACGGATCAAATCAAAGTTTTCAAGGTCCCATATGCCGATTCGTGAGGTAGGGCGAAGTGGGGAGAGAAAAAAATCCGAGGGGGAGGAGAAAGAAGAGGAAGAAGGCTCGGCCAGGAAGGTTGGGTGCCGGGTTAAAACACCATCTCGGCGCCATAGATCTTGGCGCTGTTCTCGGCGCCAATAACCACGGCGCCAAGCTCGATGCCAAGATCTACGGCGCCAAGTTCGGCGTCAAGATCTACGGCGCCAAGGTGCCTGCCAAGTCACCGCCATGTCTGCTCCGAGCCCAAGACCTAGGCGCAAAAATCTATGGCACCGAGACGAGTAAGCTCGGCGCCACCAACGATGACGCCGAGCTAAGGGTCCAGATTTTGAAATCATACCTTCAAGGGCACATTTGTGAAAAACTTTTAAAAAAATAGGCAAAAAAAAACAAAAAATTCGGGATGATGGACGACAGGATTTATTATCCGATGAATATGTTGCAAGAGCAACAATATTCAGGCACCAATCAGGACACTCATTACTCTGGATTTGCACATTGACGGAAACACACCACCCTACACATACAAGTGGCTCATGCAGAAATTGAAACACAACAACAGTTGAACTGTCGGTGAAGCCATATATGCATGGCCATCATGACCTCACCCCAACCCAACGAATTGATCGACCCATACACACTTGCTTTACAGCTAGAATACGAAGTGATGACACTTCTTCAATCAAATCACACACTCGTTATTACCAGCGTATAATACGTATACGTACGTGCATGCATGGTGCCTGCATGCATGAGCATGACAGGCCTATTACTTGGGCGGGATCTTGGACTTGATGGCCTCCACGACTCCTCCGTCGACCTGGAAGCTCCTGGCGAGCACGTCGGTGGGCACGGGCGGCGACGCGCCGAAGAGGGCCTCAGCGACGGGCTGTGTGCCGGGCAGCTGGCTGTCGAAGGCGGAGAGGACCGCGGCGGGGCCGCCGCCGTTGTTCCTCTGGTAGTGGACGAGCCCCCGGGGGAAGACGAAGACCTCGCCGGCGCAGACGGTGCGCGCGTACAGGCGGTTGGCGGTGGTGACGAAGCCGACGTCGAGGGAGCCCTGGAGGACGAAGATGACCTCGGTGGCGCGCGGGTGGATGTGCGGCGGGTTCACGCCCCACGGCGCGTAGTCGATCCGCGACACCGACACGCCCAGCGTGTTGAGCCCCGGGAGCTTCTCAACGTTCGCCGACGTCACCGCGGACCCCACCGCGTTGCCCGTGTTGCCCGGGGTCGCCAGCACGTTGGAGAAGAAGTCGTTCGCCGTCACGTTCTCCGGCCTCTTGCACGGGAATCCGTTCAGCCGCAGTGCTGCAAGGCATAGTTATTATTATATATATAGTGTGGACAGTGGACTTGGAGAGATCACCGAAAAACAATGTTGCTAGCTATAGCTAGTGTGTAGAACTGGAGATCGATGACTTACGGCCCTGGAGGGATTTGTAGTCGGCGACGCAGATGTCCTGGAGCATGTCGGGGTCGCCGGCGAGCACTGCAGGTGCGGCGAGCGCCAGGAGGACGGCGGCGGCGAAGCAGGCAGCGAGGAGGGAAGTGGCGAGCTTGTTGGCCATGGTTGGTCCACGTCAAAAAGTATGTGCTTTGCTAACAAATTGCTGGTTCGATCGCTTCTTGTGATCCAGCTGTTAGTTGGCAGTTAGCTATGTGCAAGTGCAAGAAGGGAAATGGCTGGATTGGTCTGAGGACGACGAGGGAGGGCAGCTGGTATTTATAGTGGTGGCTCCCAGACCTAAGCTAGTACTAGTACTGGTTGCTTAATAAACACATGACCGGCCGGTCCATCGCACGTACTGCATGGATCGGACGGAACCAGGTCGAGAAGTCTCTGCAGTCGCTGGATATCTAGCCGTTCCCCTGGTATCCAACGCTGACCAGGACTCCAGGAGCATGTGCCTTGCCTCCACGCTGCTCGCTGGGCTTCGGCCCAATAACAGCACGGCGCAAGCAGGTCGCTAGGTCAGCTGCGCGAGTCCACGAGCGCGGACGAGGCGACGGTAGGGCTACGGCGCAAGCTCCATGGCCGACGAGGCGACGACACGAGCTCGAGCAGCATCGGCCCATGGCCAGCGCAGGCGAAACATCTGGCTGCAGGCTGCAGCGCGAGCTCCGTGGTCGGGGGCACGAGCACGAGCTCGAGCTGTCAATCAGTATGGTCATGGCCGGCGCGGGCGCGAGAGGGGAACAGCCGGGCTTTGGCGCGAGCTTGTGGCCGGCGAGCTGCACGCTCCACGCTGGGCGCTGCGAGCTCCATGGCCACTGGCCAGTGGGTCTCGGTGGGTGAGCATGAGGATGGCAGCCCGATCCGGTGTCGCACTAACGAGGATGGGAGCACCGCGACGCTCAGGTGATGCCCCGGCGATGACGGAGGAGCCGCGTGGCCTGGGGAACGAGAAACGGCGGCAGAGCCATGGAGGCGGAGGTTGGAGTCGCGAGGGGTAGAGCCGTGCGGGATGGGTTCACATGGGCCGGCTGGAGGCCTGTTAGATTAGCTTCTTTTAAGCTGACGCTTGGATCAGATATGAACGGCGTGGATGAATAACTGCAGACACAAGTTCATTCGGCCAACTGCATCCGGATCGGACGACGTACACAGGCATGCATGCATGTGAACAGGTTAAGGTCCTGTTTGGAAGCTTGGTAATTGAGACACCTGTAAATTATAGGTCTGTTAATTTTTCGGAGTTGAATCCAAATTTGTTGTTTGGATGGCTAGTGAGTCTACTTATTATATATTTTTACATCTGAATTAGGGCAATACTTCCGTTGTAAAATAAAAAACGTCTCCTCTCGACTCCGTTCTCAGTAGACTCGCCCTCGCTGCCGGCGGCGTCGGTGAGTTGGGGGCTCCTGCTCAACTCCTTCCATGGTCAACGCCTTGAGCCCTCCAATCGGCTGAGGCGCACCGTGCAGATCCGGAGGCGAATCATCAATCCATCGAGACAGGGGCAGGCCGCAGGCGCATTGGCGGCGGCAACGACAACTGGTGCTGCTATGGTAGGCATATCCGCGGCGAATGGGAGCTAATTTGGTGGCAGCGTGAGCAAATCCATGGCGACAGATGAAATTTCAGGTGGAAGCAAATTACAGGGACTTGCTGTCTACGGCTCCAGGCAGGACACCCTCCGGCACTTCTGGGCGAGCAGCGGCGATACCACACACCTACGGACGGGCTCCGATCCTAGGCTGCTACGTACACGCTATATACAGAGCTGGCAATGAATCATGTGTTAAAAACTTAGGATGACCTAGTTGTAAATCTAGCGGGTAAAACAAGTAGATCGTGCTAGAACATGAACTAGAAAGAGAGAGAGAGAGAGGGGGGTGCAGAGGGTCAGACCATCGGGCTTGATAGAGGAGCTGGCCATGGCGGTGAATAGGACGCCGATGAATCGGGGGTTGAAGGAGTGGGGCGAGTGGTGTCCGGCGACAACAGAAGCGGCGCAGTCCAGTGGCGGTGGAACTTCCCGTCGCTGTCAGCGCCCCCTCTATATCGGATTAGGGTTGTAGGTGGGGTTCTTTGGGCGGCGCCGAACCTCGTACCTTGAGCCCCCGGCACTCACCTTCTCTTTATAGCGCCATGCGACGAAGGCCCACCAGCCATGTGTGCGGCTGGGCGCCCCCGATCAGAGCGCGAGTCAGGGTTCGACTCGGTCGTTGGACTGAGCCGGTGGAGATCAATCTAACATTCACCTCCTTGATCTCACTTTATGACTTTAACCCAAAATACTTCTCTCAGCCCATTCCATCACACATTAGTGTATAGAGCATGCCTCGTCACAACAGTTAGTACCATTGGATTAATAGCTACAATACACCTCTCTGTTTTGAAACAGATTCTCAACTAGGCCCTTACTGTCCAGTGATCATAGGCTTTTCCGTAAACCCATGCTGGCTAGGTGTTCTCTGAATACATTGGGCGGTAAGCCTTTGTACTTACATGCTCGAGACTAATAGAATGATCCCGGACTTTGTCTTTCACAACATAAAACTTTATGTCAATGTGTTTGGCAGCACCACTTGACTTATTGTTGTGAAAATAATATACTGCTGGCTCATTGTCGTAGTACAACTTGAGTGGCCTATGAATGTCGTCGACCACTTTTAACCCGGCCATAAATTTCTTTAGCCAGTTCACCTGCCCCGTGACCTCATAACATGCTACAAATTCGGTATACATCGTGGACGATGCAGTGACGGTTTGCTTAGAGCTTTTTCATGATATAGCTCATCCTACGAGAGTAAATACATAGCCTGATGTGGATTTTCTATCATCTACATCTTCCGTAAAATCTGAATCTAAATACCCCTCTATATATAGGGAATTAGATCTTCTATACGTTAGCATGAGACCTTTTGTGCCTTACACATAACGCAAAGCTTTTTTTATCATTCTCTAGTGTTCTATTCTGGATTACTCTGATATCTGTCAAGTATCCCGGTAACAAAAGCTAAGTCAGGACGTGTACATACTTGAGCATACTATAAGCTTCGGACAGCTGAAGCGTATGGAACCGTTTTCATTTGATCGATCTTATATTGGTTCCTGAGACATTGGAATTGTTCGAAACTATCGTCTTTGACTATGGGAGCAGGTGAAGGCTTACACGCATGCATACTATATTTCTTTAGAACCTTTTCTAATTATGCCTTTTGTGATAATCTTAAAACCTTCTTTCTTCTATCTCGGTGAATCTCTATTTCTAAAACGAATGAAGCTTCACTGAAATCTTTTATGTCAAAATTTTAGGACAAGAACTTCTTCGTCTGCAGTAGTAGATTAATATCACTACTAGCGAGTAAGATGTCATCCACATACATGATTAGAAAAATGAATTTCCCATTCTTGAACTTTGTATAAATACAATTGTCCTCTATATTCTCTTTAAATCCAAACTTTTTTATTGTTTCATCAAATTTTAAATATCACTGTCTAGAGGCTTGTTTTAATTCGTAAATGGATTTCTTCAGGCGGCATCCCATACGTTCTTTTTTTCACGACAAAATCTTTTGGTTGTGGCATATAAACATTTTCATCCAAATCCTCGTTAAGGAAAGCCGTCTTCACATCCATCTGATGTAATTTCAAATCGTAATGTGCCACTAACGCCATTATGATTCTAAAAGAATCCTTACATGAGACTAGAGAAAATATCTCATTGTAATCTATTCCTCATCTTTGCGTGAAGCCTTTCACCATAAGTCACGCTTTAAATCTTTTCACATTCACTTTTTAGTCATATTTAGTTTTATAAACCTATTTACAGCCTACTGCCCTTGCTCATTTAGAAATTTTCTCTAAGTTCCAAACATTGTTGGTGCTCATTGATTTCATTTCATCTTGCATGGCTTCAAGCCACTTCGATGAGTGAGCGCTTCTCATGGCTTCTTCAAATAAGGTCGGATCACCCTCCATTTGAAATTCTTAACTAACATAGACTTCGTAGTCATCAGGAATAGCTGATTTTCTGGCTCTTTGAGACCTTATGTGGACCTCATTAGTTGGCACTTGTTTCATATGGGGCTGTTGTTGCTCTTCCTCATGTGCGACAACGAGCTCTATAGGATTTTGAAGGACAGGTTCCTCATGTTCATTTATTGTCGCCACGGGAGAACTAACAATAGGTGCTATCACTGCAGTGTCCTGCACTATTGGTGCAGCAGCAACACGTAGAGAGAGAAAATGACTCCTGAACTATCGGAGTGGGCACATGTACCCGCTTCTCCTCAAAGTTAATTTCTCGCGCTACCATGCTCCCTCTGACCATCTCATCCTTCAAGAACACAGCGTGTCTTGTTTCTACAAACTTTGTATGTCTGTCTAGATAATAAAAACGATAACCTTTTGACTTATCTGGATAGCCAATGAAATGGCAACTGACTGTTTTGGAGTGTAGCTTCTTAATGTTTGGGTTAAATACTTTATCCTCAGCTGGATAGCCCCACACACGTAAATGGTTAAGCGAGGGTTTCCTTCCTGTCCATAACTCATATGGTGTTTTGGGCATCGACTTGCTTGGTACTCGATTGAGAATATGAATAGCGGTTTTTAACGCCTCCATCCATAAACTTATCGGTAAAGTGGAGTAACTTATCATACTTCTTACCATATCTATTAATGTACGGTTATGTCTTTCAGCTACTCCATTCTGCTAAGACTCGTCCGGTATAGAGTACCGAGTGATTATGTCATTTTCCTGTAAGAACTTTGCAAAAGGTCCAGGAACTTGACCATATGGGGTATGTCGACCGTAGTACTCCCCTCCACGGTCAGATCTTACTATCTTAATCTTTAAATTATGCTGATTTTCAACTTTAGCCTAAAATATCTTAAATTTATCTAATGCTTTTGATCTTTCTTTAATTGGATAAATATAGTCATAGCGAGAATAATCATCTGTGAATATTATAAATGAATCATAACCATACACACTTTTCACAGGAAAAGGACCATAGATATCTGTGTGAATTATTTCTAAAATTTCTACGCTTCATTTGACGTCCTTTTTTATTTTCTTAACATACTTTCCTTTAATGCAATCAATGCATTATTCTA